TCTCGCGAAATTACCCAGAAATTAATTCCTCGCTTATATTAAGGAATCTACAGTACCTGTCTGCTTTTCGATGTTAATTTGATACCATATCTGATAATCTCTCTGTTAAACTCCAGGTATTTAAAAACACAAGTTTTGCCAAAATTATAGAGTTATTTCTCTTTGGTATCCCAAATAAGTAAGGTTTTATGAAAATTCATTTAAATATCTATAGATTTTTTTTAGGATCATTCCAATATGTTAACTTTTGAGAATTGACTAAGAGATAGGCGGAAGAACAATACTATCGTTCGTAGTTCTTTACGACATTGAATGTTGACTTTTTGACCCCAAATTCAAAAGGGGTCTTCCTAAGGCCAGGTGATTCTGTTATGTTAAATTTCATTGCAAATTTTCAAAGGGTTGGCGAGATATCGTGTGGAAACGAAAGCGTTACAGAAAGACGGATGGACGGACAGCTAGATGGACGGACTGACAGATAGACCCAAATTTAATATCTCCCACTTTTCAAGCGGGGGACAAAAAGTATCAAATCAGGTTCAAATGATAATTTATCATACCTAAGATTTGTAGGAATATTGACTAAGCCATGCAGAATATTTTTTCAAAGTGCGTTAATATGATCGATGTTAACGCACTTTGAAAAAAAAATTATTTTTTCAAAGTGCGTTAACCTGGTCCCAAAATTTAACGCACTTTGAAAAAATTTTTCAAAGTGCGTAATTTTTTCAAAGTGCGTTGCCACAATGGTTAATTGTTTATGAATTGAATCAGTAATATATTTTTAGAAAAAAAAAATACATGGGAAGAGAACGTAGAACGCATTTCAGAATTCCTGAAACTCAGGAATTGAATGCAATCTTATTGTATTTGAATTGAAGGTAAAAATTTTCCCATGCTGTAAAACGGTGTCGAGTGGTTACGACCCGATTCCGTGTTCGACCCGCGTGGTATCGACCCAAATGGTTTCAACCTACTTATAATTATATACATACAGGTAAATAGAGGGGTTCACACTATAAGGTATGGTGTATACCTTAGGTATACACATGGTTTCAAGGTAGCTGTATGGCTTCAGAGAGGGATACGTGTCAATTATTGGGTGTCAACATTGAAGTCAAAAGTAAACTTGAAATTGATTTTAGGACAAGGATGCAATTAATTTCATTTGAAATAAATTATAAATAATTTATAAATATTTGAACATTTTTCTTAAAAACTAATCAGCCCTGTGTCGGATAATCAGGGACCTATATTCTACTATATACTTAGTATATAGGTCCCTGGGGATAATATACGAATTTATTGTCTATAAATGTTACAGTAATAATAAATGGTTTAGATAAACCTAATTATTTAGCAATATTTTTAATAATGAATAAACAGTCACGATCGGTTAAAAAAATCTGAATACTAGTATTTTGAATTAGACCCCCAAAAATGTTTTTAAAGTATCGAAATTGTTATAATTAATATTGCTTCGGAACGAAACCACTCGGGTCAAAACCACGCGGGTCGAACAAGGAAAATTTAAGGGTCGAAACCACGCAGGTCGAACAAGGAATCGGGTCGTACCCACCCGCATTCCTGTAAAACAAAAGGTGTGAATCCCAGGCGCGAACAAGTGATTGGTGCGAAACCACTCGGCGCGAACACGTAATTGGAGCGAAACCACCCGCATTCGAATCACAGGTGTCATTAAATCTATTGTACACATCCTGTCTCTACCTGAAAGGGGGTATCTAGGTTGCGTTTGATGTAATTTTCACATGCCCCTCAATCAGTGCGATTTCTTCCATGGGTGTCCCACTTTTTTTTTTAAAATCTCAATTCCACCTATTCCCAGTTGCAAATAACAATAAATGTTTCTATAATAATTTAATTACAGTAATTACATTTCATCTTTGATTTACCTGTATTTTGTACATTTGATGACAAAAAATAGTTTTTAAAAAATGATTTATGCGTGTTAGTCAAATTTAATTATGCATTACATATATAAAAATGCATAATATATTTAAATTTTTGAAAACAAAGGGTTACAAAACCCTCTTATATCTTGAATTTTAAACGTAAAATGGGAAGTTTTTTTTAATGCATTAAATTAGCTGAATTTTAAAAATTTACTATAAATAAATTAACGGGAAAAAAATCATTTATCAGTAATTCAGTAAAAACTTGGAATGTTAGGTAACCTTTAAATATTAGTAAAAAGTCTGATTTAGAATTTTTAAAAGCCAATTTTCTTTCAGTTGGTCATTGATCAACTGTTGATACAGCAGCAGTAATATGTTTTAAGTTAATTATTCTTTTACTTTAAAATTCCACAGATTCCCACATAAAATGTTACCTTTCCTACCCGATTTTCAGAAAGTGGGAATAGGTAAAACGAATCCTTCCATCTACTTTAATTAGCTAATTAACAAATTTGATTTATTTTAATTGATAATACATATATTTTTAATAAAGGTATAATTACTTGTTGTGTCTCTGGAGAATTTTTCATTCATATGGAAACGCCACCACTTGCCGATGGATAGCCTTTAAATTTTGTCCTATAAAGTGGCACTAAGGGTCATTGAGCAGTGAGGGATCTTTTTCGTGCCAGCCCTACTGCGACACGGGGCCTCGGTTTATACGGTCTCATCCGAAAGACCGGTCTCCAAGTCCCACAGTAAGATTCAAACCCGCGACGTAAGGATTAATCCTTACTTCGAGACTCTAGAGCAGACGCTCTAGCCTCTGCGCCACGCTGAAGACCTCTACGAAGACATACATGTAAGTACAAAATTTGAAATATGATTTCAAGACTTATCCACCAATATCTAGGAATTCAGTTTTCTTTTTATTGACGAAATACAAAAAAATGTGGCGAAACTTACATAATTTCCTTCAAATATTTCAATTAGGTAAACAATAGGACAAAGCAGATGGTAAGGATAACAACTATCACATTGTTATCGCATACATATATCTGAGGTAAAAAAAAAAATTGAGATCAATGAAGAAATTGATATTTGTTAACTACTTTCAATAAAATTTTTCACCGATATGAACTTATTTATTTAAATATTTCAATGCTTCTGTACATGTACTTCTAGAACTTTTAAATTTTATTTTGTCTAAACTTATCAAAAATAATCCATATGTGACTTTAAAACAAGAAAGTCCATATGTAACATGCACGTCTTCTTTTCATTGCTGTATACATTGGTGATTGAAATAAACTGTAGTTGATGTAAACTATTACATGTACGAACATTTATTCCTGAATATTCCACATAATCCCAGTAATGCTATCATTGCACTAGATATCATATCAATCAGCAACACCGTGCAATCTTATTAATCCGAAGAAGCCGGTAAATAGAGAAATGTTATGAATATGTATTTATTTACTAAGTTCGAAGACAACATGCGTTTTGTCGGACCCAAGAATCAAACTGCTTGCCTGAGATCGTCAGGCCAAAGGCAGATAAACAATTTAGTTTATGGGTCGAAAAAAACCATTTTTCCCGAGAACACAGTCAATAAATGTTTTGTTTATACTTATTTTTTTCTACAAAAATTTGTCTTGTATATAAATTCCGTGATATGATCTGATTTTGAATTTGATCGAATACTAAGGAATGCGTATGGAATTTAGCTCCGCCAACTGTGTGGCATACATTGTAGCGGTCCAACATCTCATCGACAGGTCAATCAACGATTTTTTCCATACCCACTCAGTAAAACTAAAATGTTAGACATTTTTTCCCTTAAGATTTGCATAGGGACAATTTTTTAAAGGTATAACAAACGTTATTAATGTTCAAAGAGAAACCTAAATGATTCTAACAGTGAACTTAATATCACCAGAGTTTCACATATTTATAATGGCAATGTGAATATATAAACAAGCTTGAGATCAACCGTTGCATCCAGTTTTGGAGGACGGGAGAGCCTTTGCTAATTTTAACACTGACAAACTCTTAACTCTGATAAACAACAGCACCCCCCCCCCTTTTCCTTTTCAAGATTCTTGGATTCGCCACTGAAATCTGCGTCGCCGTGTGAAATAGTAGTAAGAAAGTCTGCTTTAAAGTCGCGGATTAAGGAGATAATCCTTGTGTTGCAGGTTTGAATCCCTCTGAAGGACGTGGAGACCGGTCCTCCAATGAGACCGTATAAACCGAGGTCCCTTGTCGCAGTTGGTGCTGGCACGAAAAAGGTCCCTCACTGTGCAGGGGACCAGGACCCCCTTTTCTTTACAATATATGCATAAGATTTAATAATTCAATAATTTTAGTGCGGCTGTGGGCTCCTTAACTCTGACAAACAACCGCTCCACCACTCCCTGTCGCTGTTGGTGCTGGCACGAAAAAGGTCCCTCACTGCTCAATGACCCAGGGTGTCGAGCAGCTTTCCAAGGGCAATTGTTAGTGTTCCCATGAGTGAAAAATTGGAGCAAGGATCTTAAGGCAGCATTTAAACACGTTTGGTTTTCGTTTCTTACATGACCACATTTAACGATAGATGCCTGTCTCCAGTAGGTAATACCCCCCTCCCCCTGTGCATTCTCCATTCGCAATACACATAACAACCAAACTGCATTATCCGAAATACAAATAAATATATAGAAAGAAAATATATCAAGTACTTTACCTCAATTCCTTTTATTTTTCATTAAAATCAATCCACGATTATCTATTAATAATTAATCCATGTTTGATGATTAATTTATATTGATAAATTGTTTAAATATACTGACATTTCCATTTTTCGGCATACGGATTTATATAAAATAACCCCATTGTAAATTACATATGAAATAAATATAAATTACCAATCGAATAAATATGATTAAAGAATATTTATTTTATTTCTGTTTATTTTAACACATGTGGAATATTCCATGTACGAGTGAATAGGTCTCTAGTGATGACGTATTACGCATCTTATGAACGATAACTCGTTATATGAACGATAACTCATGTTCGACTTTTTTTACGCCATAGCATCTAGTCATTACCCTTTGCTAAGCTGTACGTATCTTCTGACTTGTCAATCTCTATATGTCCTGCAAAGTCGTACAATTCATTATTTGGCGTTAAATCGGTGTTATCATTTAGATGATTATATGTCTCTTCGATGCATGAATATGGATCATTATTGTATTCACTATTTTCCCGGATTTTTTGAATTTGAATCTGTGATTCACCGACGCAAACGGCTCTTTCGGAATGCTTGTACAATACATTTTGGAGTGCTAAATTGCTTCCATTCTGCAGGATAGGCGTATTGCGATATCTGCTAAATGATTAGAATTATTCATTACGTACATTTTTGTGAGAAAAAGACCTATAAAATTTTAATGAAACTTACATAAAATACATTGTTTTAAAGGTGAAAAGAAATGCAGCATTCTTTTTTTATTTTCCTTGTAAGATGTAAATTCTCAAATCTTTAACTACACACAAAAATTTTTTATTCACTTACTTCGAACGCTTCCAAATTTTCTTGAAAACAACTGAAGCACAAATTGAAGAGGTTAAGCCAAGAAAATATCCAACAACTCCAGCGATGATAGAGATATATTCCACTTTATTATAATTGATTATTGCTTAATTAGTAGTAGTTTTAGTATTATTATTATTATTAAAGGAGAAAATTCATAATTTAAAATTCCATAAAAATAATAAAATGTATATGAAAACAAATCTTTTACCTTTTTGTTTCTTTGCGTTTTCTTTATTTGGGTCTTCAAAAAATATTTATAAAGTAATAAAAGTTTAATGAAATCTGTATCCTATATCAAGTAGGTCCAAGAAAGAGTCTGTTGAATTTGTCACAATTTTTATTAAATTCTATTTTGTTAATTATTGTGTACCATAGTCTCATGTTCATTATATAGTCGTTAGAAATAGTTAGTCACGACTTGTACAATTTGTCGACATGTCAGTGTGTAAAAGGCTGTAAAAGTGAGATGTGTTCGCCATAAGTAACATGTTATTTTACCTGTGTGTTAGGGAGATATTTCCATACATTAGGTCCGAATGTCTAGTGTGTTAGATGTTTTCTTTTGTCGATATAATCGAGAAATTTTTAGACCATTGACAGCGATGAGTTGGAACTGTTTATATTCTTTGCAAGTTTTTTTTTTGATTTGTTATAAATTCATTATTCGATAATTTGGTAAAGTATGTTGTCTGTGCTTGATAATATACTAGATATATACATAATTTGAATTGTTTACATGACATATTTTTTTTCATGGAGATAATTTTTCTGAAACGTTTACTGTAGGTACTAAATTATCTTATTTTTCTCATAATCTCAGTCTGTAATATTGACTTTTATACTTTGTTTATTGTATTTCAGTGCCTTTATATCCTTAATAAATGATGAAAACTTCAACATTTGTCTTGCTGCTTGGTTATACATGTATTACATGTATATAAGACGTTGACAGTTACCTTGCGTCGCACCGGAAGTTACATGAACTCTTGGCAACGACTGTTTGTATGCATAATTCGAACAGAGCAGTTAAATCTTCAGTCACACTTATACAGAGATCTTCGGATATTTGTACATGGCAAAGAAACATTGACGGGTTGGATAAGTAGATATTTTAGTCGGTGTATTGAAACTTTTCTTCTGTTCGTGATTACTTTGTTGCTTTTTATTTGTATGAGTGGTGTTGGTGTGAGTGGTGTGTATGTGCACGTGTGCAGATTTTTTTTTTCATTTTTTTGTGCACTTGATATACAGTATTTGTTTACACGTACTATTTACGCTTTTTTTCGCTTTTTTTCAAAGCTTGTTTACAGTTACGGAATATTTTCATGCCATTATCGCAAATTGTGACAAAATTAAATCAAAATTGTAATAGTATGCTATCAATACTTTACAACGAATTTTAAGGAAAAGGCTTTATAGTGTTAATTTAAATCAATCTAACAAAAACGCACATGCGTGCCAAAATTCCCATGAACGGTTTTTCGGACCATCGACACATTTCCGTTCCCTCATTTGATATCCCTCCATACAGAGACAGTGACCATCAACACATCGTACAGCAGGATCTGCATTAGTGCACTGCGGAGAGCGAAAACATTCCTGACCAACAGATAAATTGCCTAAATAAAAAAAATGGGAGAACTACTTCTAACAAATGTAATTGATTTATTGAAAAATTTAAAAAAAAAATAGGGATTTGTCAAATCGTGCATTCATACCTGGAAGACAGTCTCCACGAAAATTTGAATAACCCTCATCACAATTGCATTGTTTACTAACTGTAAAATTTACACTTCCTGCATATTTGCAGCTTCCAGCATTTTTTGTACCACTGCACTGTTCATTAAATTCACAGCTATCTCCAAGAAGCAGTGTACCTGTGGTATATAATGAAACTAAACTTACAGATATGACAAAAAATTGATACAATAGAATTTTAAAACTCGGGTGGTTTCACTATTTTTTAAAGAATTTTTCGTTTTCAGCCATGGTTGAGCAATGCGTCTTCAACCTACATGCACCTGATGCAGGGCCTCCGAAGGTCATTATCAGAACATTTTAGCATAAGACTTTTTATTTCATGTAAAGTATTAACTAAATAAAATAAATTTTAACTTTTCTCTTACCAGGTAAGCACCTTTGTTCCTTTAGAAGGAATCCTTCTTGACAGTGACAATATCCATCAACACATCGATCTGCATGTCTTGTACTGGAACACTGTGGTGAAAGGTAGCATTCATTTCCTACTGATAAATTACCTGGAATAAAACATGTAAATATATTTTTTTTCTATCAGAGTGTAAATCTTTTGTATTTCAGTATGAATACATTTAACTCAACTATTTTAAACCCTTTTTTATTTAATGTTACATATATTTTGAAAATCAGAATATTTCAAACGATTGTTGTATCTATGTATACATGTATATACCCGGAAGACAGAGTCCTAGCACCGGTAGGAAGTTATCGTCGCATTGGCATGATTTCTCTTGGATAAAGTTTCCAAATAATTCTGAGTTTTTACACTTTCCAGCATTTTCGCTTCCAGAACATTGTATACTTAAAGAGCAACTCTCGCCAAGTCGCCTTTTGCCTACAATAATCAAAATTAAAATGAAAGGATTTTCTCCTTCAAGTATTTTACTCGACTCATACAGCTAAATAAAAACATTACTTTTAAAGCAGAAATCATTCATTTGGATGGTATAAATAAAATGCAACATTTCGTTGAAAACAGAAATTTTAATAAACTGCATATTATATCTAGAAACACCAAGTGTTCAATGTAATTCAAGTTTATACATAATAATTTTAGAATATAATATAAAGCATAAAATTTGATGGGAAATAAAAAATAATCCTATTAACATTATTTGATTATAACATGGTGTAGGTGCCTCTGTGGTATTCAAAACTGCTGTGGAACTCACATTTTTAAGGATTATATACATTTTGTCAAAATGGATTAAATGTATCAGATCCATGTTAAAAACACGTATTAAAAGATTGAGGGGCAATATGAAAACAATCTATCCTTCAGTATTTAGTAATCCAGAACTAAAAAAAAAGAATTAGATAGATTACGTGATCAGTTTTGTATATATATTGAATATCGTAAAGAACCAAAGTGAATTTGAAATACCGTATATACCCTGCATATTAAATTCCAAAACTTCATAAGAATTCTTACAAACAAAGATTCATGGCGGATTTCAGTAAATAATCAACCAAACCTCTTTCTTTACTCCTCACTTAGATATCAACAGTTGTGAAGGAGAAACTTCAAGAGTACTGTGCAACAATATATTCAAGAAGTGATTTAAATAAGATATGGATACTTAAAAACTGCACGGAACTTTTGGACAATTTGAAATCAAAATTTTACCAAAATCAACACTTAATCATGTTAATATTCCCCACGATAAATTAAACTTCAGACTTTTAGATATTTTTGACAGCTGCTTTTTCAATAAAAATGGAACTCGTAAATTTACCATGCCATTGCTCATTTACTTAATTATTTTGTAAAAACATTTCGATTATACAGACAAGTACTCTGAAGTGGACTTCAAAAAGATGTTTGAGTTTCGGATTGACAATATCTATGTTGTTTTTGGTGATCAGATCTTCAAACAATTGGTATTCCCATGGTTCCAATTCCGCCCTTTATTAGCACATTTATTCTTGCATTCATATTTAGCAGAAATCGTGCAAAATTTTATACGTGAAAAGATGAAAACACTTGTTGTGGCCTTCAACTCGACATTGAGATTTATCGAAGACGTATTTTCAATTAACGATGGTAATTTCCATTCTTATGTCGATACAATATATCATGGTGAGCTTGAAATAAAATATACCACAGATTCTGACACATCTGTTTCATTTTTGTTTTGGATAATTTACTTGAAAGACGTTAATGGTAATCTAACAACCAAGTTCTATGAAAAACGTGAAAACTTTAACTTTTCTATCGTCAACTTCCCTTACTTGTGCAGCAATATTCCTTCATTACATGCATAGGGAGTTTATATATCTCAGTTGATTCGATACGCAAATGCATGCTCTACGTATGAACAAATTTTAAGATGATGTAAATTATTGACAAACAAGTCGATGAAACAAATTTTTCTCGTTTGAGGTAATGATTTCAAAAGTTCTATGGTCGATATAATAACCTTGTCATTTGACCTGTCAAATACAATTTATCCTTGCGTCAAGTGTTGACTGATGTTTTTCATACTAATTGTTAGTCTGTTATTTATACACTGAATTGACGATGGGTTTTCCGTCATTTCCTGATCATGACATGAAGAACACAGAAGGTGTGACCGGTCGTCAGGGAATGCTCACTCCTCCATGGCATGATTCCACCTCTAATGTTTTGGAGGTCCGTGTTTGCCCTGCTACTATTTTGTATCGTTTTATGGACTTTTGATCTTGCCTACTTTTCGCTATCATCTCCATATGTTTCATAAGTCATAAACTTTTTTAATGAACATGCTCTCATATATCTGAACAATAATTTCACTAGAACATATATTACGCATTCTTTTTTTCTGACTTTGATGTATGTTTTAAAACAGAAATCATATTATGGTCAAGAACATTTGATTACAAGTTAAATGAAATGCTAATTATATCGGTGCTCAGATAGAAACATAAAGTGGGATATATTTGTAGAGAATAAAAGGATCATTGTCTTTAGTCTACGAACCCTTTAAGCATGTTCCATTCACAAGTTCATAGTTTTGAGAACAGTGGCATACTTTATTCTTTCCATTCATTGAACAATTTCCTGCTCCTCTGGTGGCAGTACATTTGCTCACTTACGGTGCACGTCATATTCAAGCTTTTATTTGCTATATATATATATATATATATATATATATATATATATATATATATATATATATATATATATATATATATATATATATTATGTTGATAAATAATTTTTTAAAAATTAAGAAGCTCTTAAAGTCAGTATTTGGAATGTATTTGTTAAAAAACATACTTTTTCTGCACTGTCTATCGATAAGTAGATAATCTTGAGAACACTGACAGGATTTAATATGCATCATTTCATTTAATTTACATTGACCAGCTCCTTCAGTGGCATTACATTGTACATCAACTGTACATGATTCATGGAGGCCTCTGCCAACTTAAGTAAGAAATTACTTCAGTTTTATTATTAAATAAAACTAGAAAACTGAGCTCACATTAGTATACCCCGCCCTCCATTTAATCATAAAGTCATCTTCTGCTCTGAGAGACCTTAAATATATTTCAGATAACAAAAGGAGATGCATAATGGCATTAAGTAATAACTATTCTGTAAAAGTTTTAATAAGTTTTATTCAGTTATAAAAGAGGAGTTGTGAATGTGAAATTTTGACTTTTCTTTTTTATAGAATGGCAATGTTTTCTATAGAAAACCAAAAGTATGTGTCGGTTCAAACTGTAAAATAAGAGGTCACATGAGACAGGGCTACAAAGAATCTAGATCTGTGAAAGTTCTAAAAGTTCATTCAATGATATGACAGACGGACGTACTTACCGATCACTAGATACCTTTCACTTTTCAAGCGGGGGTATAATAAAAGGTTGTATAATTAAGTGCAAAACGTAGAATATTCCATCGATTAATAGTAGGTTTTCGTTGTGAATGCAATTGTTACATGTATTTGATAAGACACCACATAGCTTGATATCGATCAATTATTTTTATTATATATTTGAAAACAAACCTTACATTGTGACGTGGTTTAATGCTTATGTGACGTCAGTTTTTTTGATAATTTAGTGTTCAAATAAACATGACGAGTTCTTTAATATTATTGGTCTGGTTTGGACAGTATATGACATGTGACTTTTATATTTATATTCATAAACGAAAGGAAAAAGATCCGAGGTGCTCCGAAGAACAAATACAGAGATGTTTCGGGAAGGTTTGATAAATGGTACACATGATAAAGATGAAATCAAGGGTGCTGATACATGGTGTGTAATACAGGGCACATGTCACTGTTTATATGAGGGGTGCAAGGATCCGGATTATACGTACAACAAATTAAATATATAGTAATAATAGTTTGTACATGCCATACCTGATAAATTCTACATTTCATATGCTTAATACTATCAATTAAAAAGGGATTTGAACCGATAGCCTTTGACGTGCTAATGGATAATCACACCCCTCGATCATGAAGGAACTGTTGTACTAGTATCAATTACTGTTGAAAAATGTAAATAAGATAAATTCTTTAAACATAAAATCCATAATATAGATATTATAATACCATCTAAACACGTGTCTTTGTATCTGATTTTTCCCTCTTTGCAGTTACAAACGTGACTTTTGATCAGCATACTATCATCTTTACAAACGCAACGTCCCTGTCCGCCATTGGTAAGATACTGACATTCTGCTCTGTCATCGAGGCATGCAACCTCTTTGGTACAGGCATTAAAAGATTCACCTATAAATAGATTGTTTGTATGATTTTGATCTGAATAATGTGTATTAGCAATACACGATCTAGAATTAATATTGCAATTTACATATTTGTATTAAATATTCAAAGTCCTACAATGATTTCAGACTTTAAGTGATTTTATATCAGATAGAACAATTTTCTGAAGGATGAGATGGACATTTCCTTTAAAGTGAAGAATTCTAACCTGAGCGAATTGGAGAACCACAAGCAATATCCAATCTCATTTCGTTGATTTCTTTTTCAGAACAATGATGCGATTCAAGATTGAATGTATACTTAACCCTGTTGATATGTAATGTCACAGAAATGTTGGTAACTCGAAAGTTAAAGCTTTGATAAATATGCAAATCCGTTGATAGTAACATGCATTTATCGCTGCATGTTGCTGAATTTCCTATAAATAAAACAAAAAAAGAAAGAAAAAAATAAAGAACAAGCATGATTTCTTAAAATGTTATAAAAGGCAAGTATGTTATATCAAATAGATATCAAAATAGTATATTTACCTTGCATTTTTATACGCATATCCGTGATGTCAAATTCACAACTTTCACTACTCTGCGCAAAATTCAAGATGTCATGATAGCAATATAAACTACAATAAGAGGAAAAGAGATTTATTATGTGTGAATGTGGGCACAAAAATACTTTTTTAACTTTCATATTCGTTTTAATATCCATTGAAAATGTAACGTCATTCAATATAGTAAAACATACCCTTTGTATTCATGCATCCTTGCAGAAATCGTTGATGTGAAAATAAAATCTAAAAGATAGGTATAGTTAGTAGAGATTTTATCCCTTTCATATCATTTATTAGTTTGCAATTGGATTGTGGCGTTTATTTTCTTTTATGCCTCCTCTTTCCCTACCTACACTTCAAAATTAGACAAACTCACATGTGTGTTGAAAAAAGTTTAATGATCAAAATATAATAATACTTTGATCAAATAAATCATAAACTTGTACAAACTTTTTGAAATAGTTCCAATATAAACAAAATGGATTTCAAAATGTTGATATGCAAATTACAATTTCCTTATACAAAAATGGATTAAACATTGTAAAATTGTGAATACAGTTTCATTTTTTCAAAATGGATGTACAATGTAAATTTGCAAATGAAGTTACAGTATCGCAAAGGAGGGATTTGTCAATGCAAAGGAACATAAGTAATCCGCAAACATATCACATATAAATTCAAAAAGTAGAATAATACAAAAATTACAAGAAAAGAAAAATCTGCTTGATATCCACAAAACTGCATAACATAATGAATATTTATAAAGCATGTATCAAGAAGTATCGGATATTATCCCATCCTCTTTTGCTGGCAGACATATCAGCGCCTGCTTTATGCTATATTCAATTTTAGGGTGTCAGATTGCGTAATATGCTACCAAAGATTTTTGTATTCTTTCAAAGTTTTTTTCTACTCTTCCTAACAAAACAACTATAGTTTAAAGTATTAAAGTTTTTGATAAACTTTTTCTCAGAGTCATAGTTTGTCAAAGCATCAAAGTGTCGATAAAGTTTTCCAAAGTGTCCAAATTTTCGATAAAAATTTCAAAGTTTTAAAGTTTTCGATAAAGCTTTTCAAAGAGTTATAGTTTTCAATAAAGCTTTTGAAAGTGTCAAAGTTGTCGAAAAAATTTCTGAAAGTGTCAAAGTTTTCGCCAAAGTTTTTCAAAGTTTTCGCCAAAGTTTTTCAAAGTGTCAAAGTTTTTCAAAGTGTCAAAGTTTTTGCCAAAGTTTTTCAAAGTTTCAAAGTTTTCTATAGTTTTTTAAAGTGTCAAAGTTATCACAATTATATTAAATCAAACTTGTCAAAGTGCCAAAGTTATAACTATAGTCAACTATAGTATTTTTTGTTAGGGCTTGTCTGGCCCCCTTATAATATGTTTATATTTTTGTTTTCTGTTATTTACTTCAATAAATGACATTCATCATTTTTGCCAGGGTCAATGTTCGTGGATAGCCAAACATTTTCCGGTTCGTTGGGACGTAATTTCGTTGATAACAAGTTATATTTCGTAATTTAACTTTTAAGATTTACATTTGCTAATGAATTTCTTTATATAACAATGCTAATAAAATTGAAATTCAATTTTCAATGACATCAGTTGGTCACATGATCAGACTTTCTTGCGTTTGGAAAGCAAATTGCACGAGCAATTTGGAATATTTTGACTGTGACGTCACATGACGTCATAGTAACGTTACATTGCATTTCAAAGTCAAAGTCTAAATAATGCCTACATTTCTTTGTAACATGAAGGAAAACTTAAAATATAATATAAAAAATAAAATAACATTTTTTAGAGTTTCCTTGGGGTATGACATGAAGTCGGTACGTGACCAAATCTACTATAACGCCTTTCGGGGGATTTTGATCTCGTGACCGACTTCATGTCATACCCCAATGAATCTCTAAAAATGATATCTTATTTCTTAAATGAATATTAAAACAAATGTTTGTATATATGTTCGTGGGTATAAAACTTCAATGATCAGGGTTATTCATGAAAGCACCTAACATTGGTCCCTTACGAACAATGATGATTCCACAGTAATCAAGTGAAAATTGACTTAAAGAATTATCATCGACGTCTAATACTGTAATTGTTATTTCAGTACATTGCAAATGTTTTAAACTGGTTCTGAAATATCTATTTAATTATTTCTTATGAATTATTTCCTTATATTGTGACAGATGTAGTAAATATATTCTGAAAGTTCAGGAAATTAATGAGCTAATTGTATTTCATATTAAAATCAACTGATTTGCAGTAATTTAGAAAAATACATCATAGACCCCCACTTTTGTTTTTGTTTTGTTTTTCTGAAAGTATAATTTACTTTGATCAATCTGCTAAACTTCAGCAAAACATTTAAGACTGTAAAACAATTTTTGAATGCGTATTTTTTTATGCAAGTAAAATAATAATTTGTGAGTACAGAAAATAATTGATAAGGCGAAGTTATTTAAAAATGCTTTTTTTAAAAGATACTATTAATTAAGTTTGTCCCATTATTTATATTGATAAAAATATTGGAGGGAAAACTTCGAAGATGTGATTTTTAATTGAGACACTTATTTCAGAGCAAAAAAGTTATATTCGATAAACTGTATCTCCAAAAGATTAATTGATTGTATGTTGATTAACGTCCCTCTCAAGAATTTTTCACTCTTTTCACAAAAACTTGCTCTCTAGACTTCTCCAGCAACTCAACTGCCTCCCCAAGTAAGAATTTAAACAACAAGACAACTTATATTTAAGAAAAAGACATTAAAACTGTCTTTGAGACCTTGAAATTCTTTGCTCTTCCATGATCTTTGTCAAGTGCATCTTATTGTTTATTTGATTTGAGGGACTAAAGCAATGGATTCAAGTTTAATTATTTGTTTGAATTAAAGACAAAGGTGGAAAACTACAATTTCTGATTTTTTAAATAATAGTTTTTTTATATAATAGTTAACAGTTTCTCGTTTTCACTCATTTTTTAAAACATAGGGTGACTATTGGGTACCAAACTTTTCTACTGTCAATTGTTTCTTTAAAACAATGTGAACTGCCCCCAAAAGCATGCCTATCAAATTTTATATGTGTTATAAAGTCAATCAAGCATCATCGATGATGATTTGTTGAATTTTGGCAAACAGTTGATTGATCGTTGCAAGTCCTTGTCGCAAAGTTGGGTACCCTTTTTGATGCCCATTATGTTATTTTTGTACATTGAAATCCACCAGCGCACATGTCTATAAAACACACTTTGGCGTTTAATTTCACTCTACCTTACTGATTCTCTACCATTCTTTTTTAATGCAGTGTCTCGAATAGCCCTTGTTTTCCAGCTTCTCACTATAAAACTACCGGTATGTGATAAAAAGTGGTCTTATAAACTGTAATCAAATCATTAAAGTGTTAGTCATGATCGCAAGTTAGGTTTAATGTCATAAGATATCTGTGTTAGATGTCATAGAGGTCAGGACATTATTTATTGAACAGCCTTCGTATACTCCGCACAAAGGGCCATTGAGCAGTGAGGGTTCTTTAAAGGGAGGTATACACGGTACAATTTGCATTATAATGAAATTTGTATGTATTATAATACAAAATCTTACTGTGTGTACACCCTTAATACAGTGTGACATGCGACTTTTCGAATCTTATAAAACTGTGTTAAGAATGGGGCAATGCTATATTTCTCAATACAAGTCTTAACTTACTTTCATTTTCAACCAATCAATTAAATGTACTACCATTGGGGGAAATCCTATCTAAATCATTACCAAAAAAGCAAATGGTAAAAAAGAATGGCCGACTTTACAAGTAAAAATCGAAAAATTCTTGGTTAATGGAAGGGGAAGAGGAGTTGTTGAATATCTCAATGCTGGGGTTTTCTATTTGCAGCTTATCTAGTAATGCATTAAGTGCACCAAGTATGTTCTGAATCGTTGATCTTACGAAGAATCTCTTTTTCAGTATTTATTTTTTAGTTTAAGTGCAGTGATTATTACGATGAAAGAAACTGCTATCAGTAAGGCATCTTCCATTTTTATGATTTTGACAGATAGAGAAATATGGCGAGGGGAAACATGAGGGAATACGCAGTTTATTTACAATCTTATAAGATATGTATTATCGTGAGTACAAGAAAGTAATGTAATATTATACAAACGTATGATGATACTTGTATTATACAAAACATCCCATCGTGTATACTGGTATTAACGTGCCAACGCCTTCCGCGACACGGAACCTACGTTTATAATGTCATCTCCGCCTGACTTTCACTTCTAATGCCGAGAGTTTAGCGACGGAACAGTCACTACCCATGTTTACGTCGCGAACGAGAATCGAACTCGAGCCTCCAGATCAAGAAGCAAAAGCCCCACCACTAGGCTACCGTGACTGGTTATCTCCAAATGAAGAGTTGACCTACAATTTGTTTTGGTTTTTAATTAAGCTATGTCTGTAGAGACTAAAAATATACATGTCCAAAAAAAAAGTATTCGAAATTTAAGGCTAACTATAAAGCTATCTTTATTTATAAAAATGTTGACATCAATTATCGTTCTGTAAGTTAGAAAACAAAAGATAATACTCACTCTTTAAATTAAAAGTAGAAGAATATAAGAATGTTTTTCATATGAATATAATTGTACTTACAGAGAAAAAAACTGAAATTAAAAGTCATATTTGAGTCCAGCTTTTTCTTTGATTCTGAGCAAATTGTTTCAAGGATTAAATTCTCAATAGTACGGCATCTACGACAGTACACTTAAGTGCTATAAATGAATTTCCGCTGTCACGTTGTATTTCCTTCAATTTAAATAGGGCAGGCACTTTAACTATATTTAAGTATCCGTTTGGGGCTTGATTTTTTCATCATGCTTTCAATAATAAAAAATGAATACGGAACTCTGGCTTTTGATTGAAATTACACACAAAAAATTGTAGCATAACACATCCACAGGATTATAAAGAAGGTTTAACAGCCAGGAAAAAATCATTAAAAAACAAAACTGCATTGTTGGTTCAGTGAAAATTGTTTTAATTTACCTGTACTCATTTTTCTATATAATAAAAATATGACTAATAAACATGCTATTTTTTCAAAACAGTACCTACAGATAGATTTTGTGCTACCTGCCCATAGTGGAATAGTCATCAAACTATTCACTGGCAGCATTTTGTTTCCCTCACTTTTCATCTTTTGTGTTTTTTCAGTACTGTAACGTATAGATTATCACATAACAAAAGTAGAGTCATCGTCGGTGTAATAAAACACCTATTTACTGACTATTCTGACAATAGCAACTTTATCGTTCCCCTCATGTAACATTAAAGGTTCCTATCCAATACACTTTCATTTAGGTGAATTTTAAAAATTCAGGATAACTAAGGTCGACAAAAATAAGAATTCGGTTTTCGTCTTGCAATGTATAGTTTTGCAATTAAAGCATTGATTTCTTACTTAAAATTCAAATTCTATGGTTTTTAATGACCCGTTACTGTTTTGATATAATTTTGTCACTCATTTAACAGTTCACAGAGGATGAGGACGGCAGCTTTATTTCATTTCATAATTACTCAATATTCCCTGCAAAGACTACTTTCAACCATTTGAAGTCTTAACATTTTTCGTAAATCAATGTTAATGTGATTCTCATAATGAATAAATAGAAGTCTGAACATTGAATTTTATTTAAGGAAAAACAAAAAAGTGAAACGAGTGACTTTGTCAAGATATTACTGAATTTACGTTTTCTTTTGATAATGAACTAGAAAACGAAATTGTTGCTAAAAACACTACAAGTATATGGCCTGTATATTATAACTCTGTTACTTTTTCATATTAAAAAGTGAAAGAGGGTTTTATATGTTTGAAACCTCTTTGTTCTAACACAAAACAATTCCCAGAGTATTTTTATAAGTTACTGGATCTGAAACATACACAAACGGAGGATCACATAAGTGTTGCATAAGATGTGTTTCCTCAAGTTTTTGCTAACTTAGGGTGATTTGAACGAATAAAAAGGGCACACTTTTTTTCTAAGCAATAAATAACACTTTTTTCTAAGCCATAAATAACACAAGAGCTCTTGTATCATAAGTTTATCCAATTTTATTACACGATTCACGAGCAATAGCTTTTTTCTCTAGAAGAATCATACAGGAACATAAATGTACTTATACATTATTTCCGTTGTACAAGGTCTGTCTAGAGATTACAGCAAATGTTTATAATAAAAAAAAATTGTAAGAACCCTCTCTTCATTGCACACTAAAGACTTCTGATTCTATGTTAATTTTCTGCGACAAAAGCGATCTGTCTTTAGCTTTTAATTTAAAGAAAATATAAATTTATTGTAAATTATCAATTTTTAATCAATACAAGTATTTTTAACGATTTAAAGGCAAAAAAAATTAAATGAACATGTTTTCTACTAATTTTCTCTATGGAAGTAGTTAACAAACATTTATAAACACTGATCATGATTTTCATTCATTTCTACGTTTGGGAATATTCTGATGGGTTTTAAAGGATTCATTGAACTGTCCAGTCCAAGTTCCGCACCTATACGCATAGAAATTTGGGCATTTAAGTCCCGGTCCACTTTTTCTACCTTTGAGGTGATCAAGTATAACATAAGAAAATTAAGTTTTTTAAGAGGTGCAAAGCTATTAGCAATGTTTACTTGTAATAATAATGGGAACAAGGCTTCCATGTATGCTCTCTTAATACATGTTCACTTTGGATGACAGTGGGTACAAATATTTTAAGCTTGTACTTCGGCAGTTTTTGTATGTCACCAGTTTTTCCCATTGTTATTTTTTGGATACAGGATTGTTAATTTGGATATTCTTTATATAATTTGAAATATTGGTGAGATCTAGAAATGTTTTGTTTTTACACACACCTTTTCGGTGATGCATTGTGTTAAAATATACTCCCTTTTATCTGATTCATCTTTTAATCTTCTAGCTTTTTTGTACTCATTGATTTTTTGAGCTGACATGTAACACATATAAACATAAACTATCTTCAGTAAACTTGCAAAATTACAGAGAACGTTCCTTTTAATAATTATATGTTCAATTATCAAAGTTTCATGAAAGGCTTTAATAGTTACCCATGTTAAATTTGTATATCCTGGTTTTATACACTGTAGTACGCTTTTTTATAAACGACTTCGAGGTTTATTAAGCATAAACTGCCAACATCCAGGTCATACTACATACCTTGGATTCTATGAAATTCATTATTTAAAGATTTTTCTTTTTAAGTCAATTGATTTGAAAGGGGCAGGACAAAATCATCATTCTTAATCTCTTTCATCATTCTTGAAAATACAATGTATCATTGTAAATTATTCCATCCAAATTGTTCTTGTTATCTGGAGAGAAATATAAAGCGACAGCGACAGTATTCAAGTTCAAAAGTCCAATAAACATAACAAAATAGGAGCACAGCAATACAGACCTCCAAAACATCAGAGGTTGGATCAGGTACCATTGAAGAGTCAGCATTCCCTGCCGATCGGTCACACCATCCTTGTGCTCCTTTTCATGATTGGAAACAAGAGGCCCATGGGTTACATCGCTCACCTAAACAACTGGTTAGATAAAAGCAAAGATCAATTCAGTATATTTTTAAATACAGAAGTGGGTTCCAAGGAGGGGGTCTTTAAATAAACTTTAATCTACAATTCCTGTGGTTGCTTTTAAATTGATATGACAGATAATGGCTGTCTCTGAAATGTTTTTTTTTTGTTGATGAGTTGTTTTTTTCCCTTTATTATGACTTTTATGCTTCCTCTATTCTCCTGATCTGTCATGATTTGAATTTACACTTACCTACTTTTTTGATGCTTTCATATTCATGACCAATCATGACTTTGGTTTTCTTAAGAAGAGGGTTTTTTAAGATTATTCTTAGGTATTGATATGTTAAAATTAATTACCCGGTTGTGGTTCAACTCTGCCACCGTGAGTCATGAATTGAATAATATTGAATCTACACTACCCGAGGATGCTTTCATATGACTATGACTAATCACCACTTTGTTGTAGTGAGGAACAATTTTCAAGATTATTTCTATGTAATCTTACATTCTTACAAGCTTCGCTATTGTCCCAGAACAGGAGACATGATTGAACATACTTAAATCTACATTAATAAAGGAATATTCTATAAATCTATGACCAACCATGGCTTTTCTGATGTTGAGAAGAAGACTTTGAAGTATTTTCTTTTCCTAATTTAAACTTTGCTTCTTAACTGTGTCACCATGATACCGCTCGGGGTCATGATTTCAACATATTTGCATCTTCACTACCAGATGCTTCTGCATAAGTTTCTTCTTTCCTGTCTCAGTGGTTCTTGAAATGAAGCTTTTTCACGATTTTTCCTATGTATTCCTATATTTAACTTTGATAACCCGTTGTGGGATCATCCTGGAATAATTATTTCTTCAAATTTCACTTCAAGAGGATGGTTCCACATGAGTTTCATCTTTTTTGGCCCAGTAGTTTTTGAGAAGAAGACTTTTAAATAATGTCTTTAGGTCATCACTTATTCACAATTCTCTCTTTGGAAGAGGGTGTGTCCTTTATTTGAACAAACTTGAATTCTTTTTACCTGAGGATACTTTGTAGAAAGTCTGGTGGAAATTGGCCCAGTGGTTCTTGAGAAGAAGAAGAAAATGTGAACAGTTTACTACAACAACTACTACGGCAACTATGACGAGGACGACAGACAACGGACATATTTTGATCAGAAAAGCTCACTTGAGCCTTCAGCTCAGATGAGCTGAAAAAGGAAGTCAGTGAGTATACCAAATACATATGAAAAGCCTCAGTCAGCATTTTAATTCATGATAAATTGTATTTGCTTACAAGGTCATTGTATCGACCAAACAATTTACAAAATTACTTTCAACGAGATTTCTGATCTTCCTGTTTCAGCAAACTATTTGTCAATACATTATCACATTTCAAATACAGAGAGCATGCTTTTGTCAATCGAATCAAATGAGTGATATAAACCCCGTATGTAAATGATGAAGATATACGCTGACCATGAGCAATTAGGGGAAGCAGGCAATTGAAGAGTTAAAACCATTTTGTTTGTTAGGTTCACAAAATTCTAAATAACTGCCATATAAAAAATGATATAGGAATTTAGTTATGAATTTTTTAAGCAGTCCCCTCCGATTTGAACGCACATCTTCAACTGTTCTGTGCATGCGTTCACGTAACATGCTCTTTAGCGTTCTGTCACAGAAAGATATCCTTTCCCAGAATGAGCATAATGAGCTTCAAAAGCTAAGCTCTCTGCTAAGGGAGCCTCATTTATTCGATGTAGATAACGTATAGGTGTTTACTTTTTTCATCATGTCTGATATCTTTAAAGTCTAATATAAACGATAAATTAGGGATTTTACAATTCAATTATTATGAAGATATTCATTCTTAATAAATTGCTTACAAAGGACACATCTTTTCCCCAGTTTACATATACTGGGCAACAACAAACATCAACTTTAAACATCTCCTTCTTTCACTGAAACAATCAAACCAATTATGATTAAACTTCTGGCAATTTTTCTGTTTTCATAAACTGTGTACAACTTAATATATACTACTGCAAATGAATTTCCAACATGTACGTTTAATTTGACAGCTGTTTGTTGCTCGAGTACGACTTAGTCAACCATATTTTATCACAAGTGATCTACATATTGACGTCATTTTCACATTGCGATGCCACAAAGATTGAGAGGACACTTT